AAAAAAAACTTAAAGCCTACTGGACCTCTAAGCCTACAACATATGCATGAGTCTAATATATACTACTTTTGCTTGGCGGAGAAACTTACGAACAGGTCTAAAGCTCCCACAATTTGCGTGGGAAGCCAAACCTAGTATATATATATATATATATACGAGTAAACCGGGTTTGCCACTGATCATTTGCGCGGGAAAAATTATAGAGCAGTAGTATTAAGTAATCATGGAATGGCGGATTTGATATGAGAAAAAAGTGTGAATAGGGCGTGGAGGAGAGTGATGGCGAACAAATTGATAAGCGAAATGGGTCTTCCCAAATCAATAGCCAACATCTTTGCTGCTCGCAACATTCACACTGCCAAGGTAGAACAGAATATCAAATTAAATTTCTAATTTGGCATCAAATATGAACCCATGGATTCTGTGGATCACTACCTATAATTCACGCAATTTTAACTCTTTTACATGTTGATTATTACTTCAAGTTATTTGAAATCCATCCTTTCTTTCCTTTTCCAGGTATATCCATGTTATTACGCAACTTTCTCAGCCCTAGCTCTTTTTTTTTTTTTTTTTTTTTTTTTTTCGGGAATTTTATGTTGATTTTTTTTTAATTTTAATTTTTATTTTTTGTGGTTCAGTTTTCAAAATTTCGTGTTCGACCTGGACTGGCAGTATTGAGGGAAATTTAATTTAAGCTGCTTTTTGGAAAATCTTTAGCATAAGACTCAGGATTGGGAATTATACTCTGCAGTTCGGTTGCAGCCGTAGTGAATTTTAGAAGAGTTTCAAGTTTGATTGTCAATGGTGTTGTCCATCAAAGGAAACGACAACAGCCGAAGATTCCAATTTCTCAGCTCCCATATAGGCCTTACAAGAGAGAGGTTCTTCCATCTCTTGCCCCACTGCGCAACCTATAATAAGTGTCCAATGGAAACGCGCGTTTCTGAATAAAAGCAAAGACGTTACGACTTCTAAGAGTTTTTGTAGGGTTCTTCTGCGATCGTATTATTGCTGCCAACGTCCAAAATCGATCTATTAAGGAAAACACAAATCTACATGTGTGGGATCCCCATTCAAAACGCTCGAATACGAGGGCCAAGAACACACCCATGCAAGGGCGGCAATGGGGTGTTTTTCTAAATTAGAAGGGTTTAAGCACATCTCCAAATTTATTGGCATAAAGGAGCTTGGTTTTAGATGTTCAGGAGCCGTGATGTTTTCGAATAAGTGCACATGAAGGTTTACAACAAGGCCAGCCATTATCTGCGATAAGTATCAGACAGGAAATGAGGTAAAGTGAATTTTCAGACTACACTATATTTCGGGAAGGATATAGCTAGCCTTCCTCAGGAAGCTAAGTTCCACTCGCTCTGGGCCGATGTTCATTGCGTACTTACTTTCCCAGCATTGACCCTCCTGGTCAACCGGGTCGGTATTTACCATTTCGGGCGTAGATTCACGCACTTACTTCCCTGCCGTCCACCGTACACACCCGAAGCCGGCCCTTTCCAAACACAGTAAAAATCTAAGGTTATCTAGGTGAGTAGGCCAGATACTCCTACGAGTATGCCAAGGCAAGACCCATTGTTCTTAATAATTAGGTTAAAAAGGTGCGAAGCTTCATTTATCACATCCTTGCATGCAATCGCTTAGTTTGTGGTATCTTGCCGTTCGTATTCTTGGTACCTTCAGTGTTGCCGCAAGCTAACGATTTGTCTAAGGTCGGGAGAAACCATAAATTTGAGTTTGGGCGTAACTGCCCTCATTCTTTCATTTTAGTTGAAAGTCGAGAGGTTCAGGCTATCCAACGACTATTTCCCAGGCTGAAACTTTTTGGTGTTAATTTGTCTTTTTAGGCTCTGTCGCTGTTGGAGCAGCGTATGCATAATGAGTACTTGGCAGGTCATCTACCAACTCGTCTGAAAGGACTAGATGCAGCCTTATGTGGGGGCATTCCATTTGGTGTTATTACGGAGTTGGTTGGTCCTGCAGGGATTGGCAAAACACAGGTATGGCACAGCGATGATATTGGGTTTCTAAAGTATTTTTGCTATGCTGCTGTTATTTTCCTCATCTCATTTGGATTACAACATTGCTGGGAATTTTATTGCCTGCATCCGCTCTTTCCGTTTAACTAATTTATGTTTGTCCTGCCTTTTTTCCCTGCTTCCTTGTATCCTTTGCACCTATTACTTAGCTTCTAGTTTGGTGGGGGTTGAAGTTGAAAATGGAAGCTGCAGTTGTCTCCTTTAGATGAATATTAGAATCCAAAACCTGAAGTGCGTTTGCAGTACGATGGGGAACCTTGGTTGAAATTGCTACATGCAGAATATCTAGTTTGGTTATATTCAAATGGCAGCATAGGATAATGCTCCTTTTTCTTTAAAATTTATTTATTAAATACATATTTTAACCCGTACAATGATTCAGTCCGTAAACGGACCCTAACCACAAAAATGCAGGAGTCTGTTGGTGTAGGGTATACCTGCATTGCATTTTCTGTCCAAGATTTCGATCCATCTTATTTGTCATTCTCAACAGATCTTATTTTGATGCGACTTGTAGTTCTGCCTGAAGCTTTCCTTGTTGGCCTCACTGCCTTCTAGTCACGGTGGCCTTGATGGCCATGTCATATATGTGGATACCGAATCAAAATTTAGTTCAAGGAGGTTTGCGTCTTTCTATCTTCTAATATCTTTTCAAATTCTTTTGTCAAGCTTTCTTGCACTCAAATGAATTCCATCTTTTTCAGGATGATTGAAATAGGTGTTAATAGTTTCCCAGAAATATTCCAAATTGAAGGAATGGCACAGCAGGTATCCAGCAATATATGATTACTTTCTTTTACAGAAGCAAACACGGACACCAATCATTCGACGTGCACACAGACGAAACATATAGCTTGACTTTAGATTTGGAAGCAGAAAATCCGTTCAGAATTGAGACATGATAACTAAATCATATGACACAGATTTTGTAGTGTCACACATATGAAATCTAGGGACCAAGTTAAAGAGATCATTATGTTACTTTTATCTAATTAAAAATAGAGATTTCCATATATTGATTATTAGCTGTTTCACATATCAAATCCTGTCAATATTTGCCTGCACAATCCTTTTTGATGTTGAAATCTTGGAAAAACTTATTTAGCATGAAGTTGGGTCTTTGCAGGCTCAAGTCTTCAAAGTTGGGAGAAAATAGATGTAGGAAGATACTCATCTTAACGAGGGAAAAAAGCAGAAGTTTTAAAAATTGTTGCAGTTATTACATGTTTAAGCTCTTCTACATATCTGGTCTTTGTGCCTTTTTCCCCCCCTTTTCCTTTCTGAGAGTTGCAAGGTGCTTCCTAGATTGCACCCTGCTCATGATCTGATAGTTTCTCACATCTTCCTAAATCTTTCTAAATATCTGCTGCAGATGGCTGGTAGGATCCTAGTCTTGCAACCGACGACACCCACTGAATTCTCAGAGTGGTATGAGTAAGATAAATCAGGTTCTAGGTTATCAGCCTAAGAAATGATGTATTAACCCAGCTATGGAGAAAATCAAGTAAATTTTTTTAGAGATGCTCTGGGTGATCGTTGGAGGATAAACATTAATTAGTTGAGCCTCTATCATCATTTTCCTTATGCATGGCAGAGAGAATATACGAGCGTAGGCCATCTTACGTTGCTAGGTTGGAGGATTTAGCTTGATGGTCTACTGGAGTTCAATCAAAATCAACATCCTTAAGCGTTTTGTGTGCGTGTGTGCGAAGTATGCTGTCACAAGAGAAAGAATAAGAAAATAATTGGATAAGCATGAAAAATTATATACAATGAAGAATAAAATAGGAAAAATTAAACTGCAGTTACTTTCAATCAAAACAAAGGATGCATAATAAATGTGTCTTTTTTGTTGGAGTTGGCAGCTAAGAAGTTGAGAAATTCTTATGGAAAGATTGAACTGAAAAGAGCTTGCTAGTTTCTTGAGTTTTGCATTTTTTACATCCGTGATATCCTGTGTAAGACATTGAGAATGTTCTTTTTGTTAGTTAGCAGCCAATGGACTGATTATAACACTGGATGTAATGTCTTTTAACAGCTTGCAAAAGATCAAGGATTCCCTTCTCCAGCATCATATGAAGTTGCTAGTCATTGATAGCATGGCAGCTCTTGTTTCAGGGTCAGTTTCATTTTCCTTCTCCGATTCTGCACTAGGTAGTGGATGGCTCACTGTAGTAAAGAGTTACTGATGCACAACAGCTGTAATCTAAGTTACATATGTGGAAGACTAATGTGTTTCAATGGTCCTTAAATTTGTAATTTTTCTGCTCAAAGCTTATAAAGTCTTGACCAAAATTGTTTCTTGATTTATTTTTCTGAGTGAAGATTGCAATTTGATTTCCTACTTCATACAACAAACTTGTGTTTATTAATTTAAAATTGAAATGGTACTGTATGTATTACATGTCTGGATTGCCTGCTTGTAGAGGCAATATTTTTCACATTTTATTTGTTTGTTTTCAACAAGGAGAGATGGACAGGGACAATGTAGACAGCATCCATTGGGTTGGCATATGACCTTTATAAAGTGAGTGAGAATTTTGTCCTTCAACTTTTTAGCTGATATCGCAGAAAGTTAATTTCTCGGATAAATAACAATTTCTTCGCTGTTGATTGAATTATTGTGGTTTGAAGATCACTCGCAGAATTTTCCCGTATCCCTGTGGTGGTGACTAACCAAGTTAGATCTCATAGTGGTGATGACCCTTTCCACTATTCCTTCCAAGGTATTATGACGAGTTTCATAATGTCAGATTTACCTGTTCCAGATAAGCAATATACGAGTCACTCATCTTGTGCAGTTCAGATTCTAGACAAAATCTGGATTTCCCCACAACATTTGATTCCCATCTTGTTGCTGCTCTTGGGATCCCTTGGGCTCATGCTGTTTCTATCCGTCTTGTGCTGGAATCTAAATCAGGTTTGTTTGTCCCTTTGCAATAATTTTAAACTTGGGAGTGAGGGAAGGCTATTAATGCTTTTAGGAATTACCTTAACCAAGGGATAAAGGAGATTTTGAAACATGTTGGCTAGGAAAATTTAGAGAAAATAATGCTTCTAATGTTACGTTGGTGGAAATGAAAGTAATAGTTTCTTTACTGTCTCCAACATAATGATGTTTTGCATTAGTCAGGCTTTTTGCTGATTTTACCAAAGAATTAAACTGTGCAAATTTTTCGTACTCCTAAACTCTGTTAAGTGGTGCTGTTGTCTCTTGTAGGGCAAAGATTCATAAAAGTGGCAAAATCATCAATGTCCCCTCCGGTTGCATTCACTTTCGCTATATCTGCATCTGGAATTTCCTTGCTTCATGACGATGGAATTGAAATGACTGGACCAGAAATAAATGCAATATGTGGTCAAGGTGTGATATGAATATTTTCTTCACTACTATGAGCAGAATCAAGCAACTAAATTACAAAACTAATAGGGTCTTTTGCTTGTGGAGGGTGGAGAAGGGGAGGAGAGCAGTTAACTTCCATTAGTGCGTGTAAATTTTTCAACTGGCCTAGAAAAACACTTTAAAACTGTTATAGACAGGTCAGAACTCAGTGTCATCTTTCAATGAGTGAGAGGCCTCTAGAATTGTCAGCCACAATCGTATTCTATGATGTATGTACTGGCACAAAAAATGTATGCAACAATGAATATATGAACTTAAGTAGCACGTGTTAACTAACAACTGCTTTCATGATTGGTAGTTGTGGATCAAAAGTCATTGTTTTACACTCGTTGAAATTGAAATATTTGTTGTGTCAGCATTTATTTGTTATGATCATGCATACATTTGACAGCAAATTTATGTTTGATAATTGTAGAGGCCCTTGATGATATTTGAACATTTTCATTCATGTAATCTGTTCACAGATAACTTCATTGCTGAAATTGATTTTTAATATTGGTAATCACCTCAGAGAAGGTCTACTATTTTCTGCATTTGCCAGCTCTCTTTGATTTCTTCCAAGCTACCATCCATCTTCCTCCTCATGGTCATTTTCTGTTTGGTTAGGGGAGGATTGGGCAGTAATCAAACAGTGCTTGTTCTGAACTCCTGTTGCCTTTTCTGTGGATTATTTATTCATAATGCTATTTAAGGATCTATGACAGTTACATAGATTTTCATACTTGAGCTTATAAGAATCTCGCAAATTGTTGTGATGATGTTACATATAAGAATGCAGGCCACTGTGGCATGATATATTGTGATAATGACATGTCATAATGAGCTTTCTGGAGAAAAGCTGCAGATGTCTTCCTGGAGGCATCTTGTAGAATCTCGCAAATTAATTGGTGACTAATCTAATTTTCTATTTGTACTTCCTCCAATTGAATGCGCATTTTTTTGGTAACCGAGCAAATAATCTCCACAGCGAGATAGTATAATCTGATTTATCCTCAATCCAATCTGATGACTAGCACACTACCACCTTTGGCCATTCTAAATTTGGTACTTGTGCCGGATAGAATTTAGATAATTAACTGGCTATTAAATATTTTATTAGAGTGGATTAAGTTTTGCTATGATGTTGCTGGAAATGGCATAATCGATGATTATGCAACAGTTGATAGATGTTTGCTTCTGTAAAGAAAGAGATACAACTGCCACTATGCTTCTTAAGACAGATGTTTGTGTTAGATTCCTCATGTATATTGAATGGCTATTATCCTGTTTTTGTGCTTCATGTGTCTAGCGCAGTCAATTCTACTTTTTTTTGCTTTGTAGTTTTAAAGCATTTCAACGTTGCTTCCTCTATTAATGACGCACATAACATCAAATACTTCAGGGATTTTGAGGTTGGTTTGCTTTCATTTCTAGCAAGCTGAGAACAGAATTATGACAGCTTTGTTACTGGAATTACTATCATACTGGCAATCTGTTTTTGAAATATGTCTCATGAAAGATCAAACATCTTAGTATGACGTTGCTCACCTAATGCAACTAAACTGATTCTACTATAACTCCTAGTAGGCTTATACGATCAGATATCTATATTTTTTTTCCTTGTTGGGCTTTCAGCCTGCGTTTCATTTCTGTTAATGTGGAATGTGGGCTGAAGTGTGAATATACTTGTCTTGGGTTGTTTCCTGTTCTGGGCCCTCAAATGTTGTGTTACCTTTTTCAGGTAACAGTGGTTTATTCAATTAAGAATTGGAGCTTCAGGGTTGTTTGTGGCTGATACCTGTACTCAAGGACTCGAGCACTTAGCTTGGTACATAGATCTTGTTTGAATATAGTTCTGTAGCCCTTTTATCACTACGCATCAGAAATCAAAGTTTGATGTGAGGTTAGCTCATTGTTTGTGCCTTCATCTAGGAGACCAGTAGACCTTTTTTTTTCAGGGTATGAGGAATCAAGGCATATTGGCATAAAGAAATAGGCACAGATATGTAGAATTGGTAAGCGCCGTGCAGAATTACACAATTTTAAGTTACCTAATTATGCTGGCAATGTTTTAATGTGAAAAAATCTGGGAAGGTGTCGATCTTTAGGTTCAGATGCACAACTGAGCCAGGACCTGCGTGAAGATCATCATCATCATCATCATAGGGATAGCATATTACCATGTGACAGTCAAACCAAATTGCAGGATTAATTTATTTGGTGGTGCTGCGACAACTGAAGACCATTAAATTTAGTATCCTTTCTCCTTTCACTTTAATAACTTGAATGAGATACTTGGAACAGGAATACCTTAAAATGCACTCCTTCAGATTTAAGGATAACTTATTTTTTATCATTCTTTGTGAGAACCAAGATTAAGGTTAGCGCTTTGGTTTCGCATACTAGTAAATGAACAACTTTGAAGTGTCCTCAGCTAAAGAAGCCATAAAGTGCTGTTCAACCTTCTGATGGGGGTTTTTAAATAGGAAAAACTGTAAAGAGGAAACCCAAGATTGAGTTTTACCATTATTCTTATTTTCCCTTTTTAACCTATGACCAAAGCTTGTTGTCTAATCCCCCCATTGCTAGTGTTGGTGTTTTTGTGATTCGTGATTTGTCCACGTAGCCACTCGCCTGATAGCATGTTTGATATTTGACTGCAAAACTGTTTGGCAATCAATGCCTGGATATGGTTAAATAATATCTCATTAACTAATACGCTCCATGTTCTGACTCAACAAAGTTGAATAGGCATGCTTTTGTTTAATTCTGATTGTGGCATCTTAATCTCCTCGAAGTTTTATGCATATAGAATATAGAAACGAATAGGTTAATCACGAATCTTTCAACTACCATTTTTTAATGTCAGTGACCTTGTAAAGTGTGGCCATGATAAACAAAAAAAAAAAAAAAGAGTCGATGATATTTTACTTGTTATACTACGAAAATTTTTGTTCTCTTCTACCATATGCAACTTCCACATCTGGAATTCTGGATTGCATCAAACTGGACATGACTATTTGTATTTCGCGCACGCCAACCTTCTAAAAATTACTACAAACCAAGGAGAGTTCTTAATAAAGTAAAATAACAAAAGGTAACATTATCTATTGTTTCCTTCTTTGTTATTTGCCTGTATCTAGCTTTTGAGTAACCAATGCAAATGAAGGCTTTAATGGGGGGGTGAAGCAAAGACGGCAACAGTAAGAAAGAAAGGTTACACTAGAAATGAGTAGTTAATGGGGAAAATGGTCCACTTGTTGGGCCTTTTTATGGCCTAAAAGTTGAAAATGACGAATTGAAAGAAGGTGCCTAGGGAGTTATTGCTTCTGTCTTCTCTTGCTTGTAGAATAATGGTTCATTAGCTTTTTGCTTTTGGACAATGGTGGATTTAATTGCTGTAACCTACAGCTTCTGATGGTACGTTTTCGGTATGATTCTTGTGTGTGTGTGTGACGTGGACCTATTCTTGTAAACAAGATCAAATTGACATCATTTTCATCTAGTCAATTTGCATCATCTTATTGGAGAAAGTAAATGTGGTTTATCACAAAAACTACGGAGATGCGAATTAATTTTCTTGAAAATTCACAATTAGAAATCCCACCAGTCACTTTGTGGTAGTAATAATTCAATCTTCATAGGCTCTCGATTGTGGCTCTTTCTTTCCTGCTTGGAACTTGCATGCCTTTACACGCTTTTGTTGTCTGATTGCATTATATAACCTGAATCTGGTCGCTTGAGGTGTCATCATGCCAAGGCAGGAAAGACAAATCACCCATGCTTGAATTGGTAAAAGAAATTGGAGGAAAATCATAAAAACGAAAGGAAAAAAAAAAAAAAACAATGACAAAAGCCATAGGAATTTCCTGCAGAGAATCTTTCTTATTGAGATCTGTGGCTATTAGCGGAAGAGTAAACACGACGTTCCGGCTGGCCAAAGCGGACTGAGTTTGATTCATTTTTACATCTGTCTAAGTTTATTCCTTAGTTGGCCTCAAAAACATCTCTTTTTTTTTATTACTACTTAATTTCACAAACGAGAGCGACAATCATACGACGTGGTAATGTTGCACAATATTGCTTGTTTAGAATTTGTAGCAATCCGCCCGGCCTATGACCGATGAGAATATTCGCCAGCCATTCATGTGATTACTTCTCTTCTTATTAGTATATACTAATTATTAGACCATAACAGCGGCCCAATAAGCTTCTTCTTTATTGGCAACTGCCTCTTCTGAATCTTGCCCTCTTTTGTAATTATTATACAATTTTTCTAATTAATCTCCTTACATTTATTACGTGCCCTGTCTCCTAATAATCTTAATTTTCTAAAAATTTTAACGTCCGAAAATACATCTTTCTTTTCGCTTACGACAGACAGACACAGGCGGGGCACAGATAATCTGATTATTTAAGTTGAACAAACGGGCATGGCGCATGGATGGAATAAATTGCCAGCAGGTGCGCCTCCTTGACACAGTGTGAAGAATCTCACCTTAGCCTTTTCACCTCTGCGAGTAGAATTGGCAGGTACGCGATACTCAGCGGCAATCTTCGAAACAAAAGGGTATCCATACTCAATTAAGCTCCTAACCTCCAATATTGAATGCCAATCACAAGCACTGCCTAAAAGTAAAATTGATAGTAGTAGCAGTAGTTGATTGAAACAGTAGTACTAAGTTGCTTAAAATTAAATATGCATTTAGCGATTAACTTAGAATAATAAACTGAATTAACAGAGTCGCCCACCGCAAACGAATTAATAATGCACTGGTAGTAATGATAAAGAAATTAATTTGTGCTACATTCCTCCTCTGTCTGTGCAATCTTCTAATAATTATAATGGGATAAAGAAATAATATAATAAAGCCCAAAAAAAAAAAAAAAGGGGGGGGGGGGAAAGGTTGACTAAACGACAGGAGAAGATACGATAAGAGGACTTTCGGTGAATGGAGAGGAAGCGTCCACGTCGCCCTAGGAGGTAAAAACCTCGTACCCACCCCCCCAGTTGCCTTGCCGACAGCAATGAGAGAAGTAGAAAAGAGCCCATCCCAACTTGTACTTTCCTTAAAAGAGAGTTAATACCACACCTGTGTTGTGGCTGTGGCTGCTACTCCAAAAGTCCTACGTATTTCTTGACTATTGCTACCGGAGACAGAGAGTATTATTTTATGTCCACATGATATGATATCAATCATTTGTTGTTGTACCAGGAGGTCTCATCTCATATGAGCAGCTCTTTTTGACAAAAAAATTATTCAACCTTCTTGTTTTCTCTTTATTGTACGACTACATTTTAATTTTTAACTGGCAATTTGTGTCCTTAAATAGGATGCATGCGTACCAAGAAATTCGACCAAATTTAGTCAAAATTTATTATCTAGTAGAATAAGAAGAAAATTAAATGATATAAGAAAAGAGCCATTACTTGGATGGAAAAAAATAATAATAATAAGAAGCTTACTTGACTCGTTCTATGATAATGATTTTCAAAATTAAAAAAAAACTCTATCGGGAAAATTTTCCCAGTTGGAAAAACAACAGCGCATGGCAATTTTGTCGACGAAATAAAATTAAGAAACTTATCAAATACTACCAAACACAGGAGAAATACTACTAGTACTATTGTGACAGGCCGATAAACATGCAGGGAATGGACTGACACAATAATGTTTATTTTCCCCCCTTTCTGTTTTCATTTTTTGTCAGTTAGGACGATAAGTAATAATTTTGGTGTTGATCTTTTTGTTTTTTGATAATGAGTTGTTGTTGATCCTTTGTTGCCGTTTCTCAGTAATAAGGCCAAATTGTTCCTCACGTAACAGTTTGATTTAATGCCCCATTTATTAGAATTATTTCAAACTGATGCACGTCAGATCACATGTATGATCTTAACACAACCTTTCACCCAGCAAACTCCTTTATGATTTTGCATTAAGGGGTCTGTTTGTTTGTTTGGACTGAAAATTCTTTTTTCTCATAAACATATTTTCTTCAATTTCTGCGTGTTTGGCCGCTAAATGGCAAAAAGACGGTCAGGCGAAAATTTTTTTTTTTTTTATCTGGTAGAAAATCTCTACATAACTTGGTGTAAAATGACTTCCTGAATGAATTAAAGATGCGCGGCCGGAAGTAAAAGCTGTTAATCGAGCCCGAGTATTGGCTGCCGGAGCTCGACTCGAGATTTAATTCGAGCCGAGCCTCGACTCGAGCTCGCTTACAGAAAACGACCTTTAAAATAGTGTTTCGAACTCGGCCTCGTTAAAGCTGTACATGTGGCTCTAGCTCGAGCTCGAGCTCGACTCCGATTTATCCACAAACGAGTCGAAGTTCACGGCTCGAGCTCGAGCTCGTGCAAATTAACATTAAATAAAAACCTAACTTTTTAATTTATATAAATTTTGATTTCTGTAAAATGGACAAATATGCCCTCATTAACGAGCCTCTAACGAGCTACTCGAGTATCAACGACGGAGCTCAAATTACCATTAATAAAACCCTATAATTTTTAATTTATATAATTTTTGATTCTCAAAATGACAAATATTGCCCTTCATTAACGCCAGCCTCTAACGAGGTACTCGAGTATCAAACGAGCCGCAGTAAGCTCGGCTCGTTAATCTAAACGAGCAGTTCCGAGCTCGAGCTCGACTCGTTAACCCAAAATTAAACCCAAAGCGAGCTCGCAGCCTTGAACGAGCCGAGGCCTACTAACGAGCTTTCGAGCTACTTTGATGGCTTAACAGCTCAGCGAACGTTAATTTCAGACCGCTATCGTGACTTATCAGTCTCCTTGGCGCTTGGCTATTGTACAAAACCATCAAGTACCATTCCACAGAGATCAAATCAAGAGCAACGTCCCTACACTTGCTTCTGCAAATTCCACAACTTTCTTATGTTCCTCCCTACCGATTCCTTTTCTCTCGTGCCACACAAACACTTTTCATGGATTATACAATTCTAGATCTAGATTGGGCTTTACATTGAGAAGTTTTGCAGAAGGGAAAAAAGTGAAGCCAGTGGAGGCAGGAGGAATACTTTTAGAAGAAGAGTTAATGTTTAAGTTACAATTGCTAATTTCTTGTAATGGTTCAATCAGTGGTGATCATATACTAATTTAAACCTTTTATTACAATGACACTCAATGAAGCAAACAGACCCCAAATGAATTTGGCTCAAATCATAAAGTTATTCTTCTCCCATCTATCTAAATTTAAAAATTCAATTCTCATTGTTGTCATTGAAGTTGTAGGCGTGTCGAATATGGAGAAATCTCCAACTTCTTTTTTGTTTTTCTAATTGACAATGGGAGTTCCTAATGCTCAACACTGACAATTTTTTCCACTCCTTTGATAGTTATGCGGGGAAACTTCTCTATACAATAATCAAAGGGATAATTTCAAGAACAACCCTTGAGGTTTTTGACAACTGCAAGCACTTCCTTGAGGTTTGAAAAATTATACTTTTCTCCCTTGATGCTATGAAAAGACTATGATAGCCTTCATAAATTTAACAAATTATAAGTGAAAAATGGAAATCCATTTTTGATCATACTTCTTTATCCTATAACTCTAACATCATCTAATCTAGTACATTATACTTCATTTCCAATTTTTTGACTAGATTTCTTAACCAATTTACAGAAAATCGACCAACCAATTAGGGAGGCACTGGTTAAAATAAGTATTTTAAAAAATTACCCAACCAAAAATAAAAAAGTCC